ATAACTACCGTTTTTATGCATTTCACAACATTTATAACCTAAAATTCTTTTTTGCAAAGTCCAATTTTCATCAATCCAATGCGCAGTAATTGTGAAATAATCATTACCATTTACACTACGGCCCATATCAGAAGTAATAGCTATTTTACAATTGTTATAATAAAATAAACAACGAAGATATTGAAAATGTTGAGCTTGATAATCAAAGATAGCCTTTTTAATTGTATTTCTAGTAAAACCTTTAAAATGTGGATTATACACAATTTGAATATAATGAATAAAACCGGGATTTTCAGCAAAACTAAATGGCAAACCCATAACAACAATCATTTTAGCTAATTCTTCAAGATCTTTTTCTCTACTATATGACCGTTGTATACTAGAACCAGAAACATTAGAAGGATTTAATTGTGTTTGGACCATATTAGAGCCATCTACTCCTACATTTTCAGGAAGGGTGGTACCATTTTTTTTAGCTTCGGCTACAGCTTTAGCATGCAAAAATTCATTTTTACAACATGACATTAAATGATTACTCAAATGTCCCGTCCCACCCTGTTTTCCTACAATTTTATGATTCATTCTATGTTTACATTTATTACAAATAGCTTGTGTTTTATCTTCATTCTGAGTCATAAATTGCCACACAACTGATTTTTTAGCGCGTTCTACCTTAGTCCTAGGATGCACGGGGGGAGTGGGAGCAGGACAACGAAAGGGAGCGGGAGCCGGGGAAGAGGGATTAGGAGTGGGACTAGTAGCCGACGGTGGCTCAGTTTCATCATCATCATATTCATCAACATTATTATCAAAACTATCAACGTAAGCATTAACATCATCATGTTCATCATCTTCAGGTAATTCCTCTTCAAAATTACCAAATCTTCTTTGTAAATGTTCATGATAAGGATCTAATCCACTATTACTATCAATATTAAAAACAGTTTCATCAACATGCGTATAATCATCCATATTTATTCTTAATTGAGAAGTTTTTTTAGTTTTAGATTGAGAAGTACTATCGATTTTTTTATTTTTCTTGGATTTTGAGCTAGATAAATTAGTGAACGAATTAACTATGGTTGTTTTACCCTTTTCAATAATGTTTTTTCCGAAATCCATATTCAAAATATAAAAAGTGAGTAAATTATATATAATACGAAAATGATTAGCAAAGTTTTAAACAAATAAACAACTAAATAAGTAGAGACTAGAGATTAATTACTCACAAAATAAATAATTAAATGTAAACAAATAAATAACTAAATGAAAAGTGAGTTGGAACAAATGTACCAAACGTCTACTTAAAAAAGTAGACGTGTATGACCGGAAGGCGAAAATTGAAAGTTGAATATTTGAAGCTCCAATTTCCAAAGACCAAATTCGTAATTTTAACGAGAAGTCGAGAATAAGAGAATTTAGAGAGTAGAGAGTAGAGACTAGAGAGATTAGAAGATATTTTTGTGAGTGAAAAGAATGAAAGATTAGGGGTATTTATAGTTAAAAAAAAGGTTGAAAATGTAGTTTTAAGAAGTTTGGGGTATTAAAAAAAGTTTGGGGGGTTGGGAGGTGTAAATGGGGGGTTATGGGGTGAAAGAGCCGTTGGTGGGGCCCAAAACCCGTTGCCCAACGGCTATTTTTCAAATTTTCAGATTAAAAAAAAAAAAAAAAAAAGAGTTCTGAACCGAACCGGAACCGGGACGGAACCGAGACTAACCGGACCGGGACGGACCGGTAAATTCCGGTTTCCGTCCCGTTACCCCTCCCGGACCGGAACAAGTCCGGATCTAACCGGCACTATCCGGAATCGAGACGGAACCGGTAACGGACCGGAACCGGTACCGGTACCTCCCGGTTCCGTTGCCACCCCTACCTACTAGTCCGGCTACCGAATTACCGGAACAAGATGAAGTCCCCTCTTTACCTACTTTTTCAAAGACCGTTGTACGTGTTAAAAGATCTTTAGTATGGAAATTTTGGTACAAAATGAGAAAAAAACTACTGTTACTTGCACGAAATGTAAATTGACCATGAAACATGTAACTATGGGTACACAAGGGGGAACGGGACGACTAAGAACACATTTGAGAAAGTGTAATAAAGAATTTGCTCGCCTAGATGATATAGAAAGGGCTAATAGAAATGGAATATCCATACCTGAAAATTCTATGGGAGTTGGAGGTTCTAATATGGTTCAAAGTGTATTAAATATGACTAACCCGACTAGCCGAAGCACACACCACACATATAGTAAAGAAGAAGATTGTAGAGAATTAGCTAAAATGGTTGTTGTTTGTGGTTTGTCTTTTTCATTTCCTTCCCATCTTGATTTTGTTCATTATATTCAGGAATTGTATAACCCAAGTTAAGAATGTATTCCAAGAAGTACAATTAAAAGTGATCTTTTTAAATATCAAAAAGAATATTGTCATTTTCTTCGTTGCTTATTTGTTTATTATGATGGTAGATTATCTATTACTTTTGATATGGGATGTAGTCCTAATGGTAATGATTATTTTACAATTACTGTCCATTGGATTGACCATGAATGGAACATGCAAAAACGAATATTAGGGTATAAATATGTTGAAGAAACTAAAACCGGTTCTTATATAGCAACAAAAATAAGCTCTATTTTACAATTTTATGGAATATGTGATAAAATAATGAGTGTCACTTTAGATAATGTTTCTAATAATTTAAAAGCAATTGATTATTTAAAATATAGACTTTGTTCAATTGATAATGATTATTTTCATATTAAGTGTGCCGCACATGTGTATAATTTGATAGTAAAAAATGGTATTTCTCAATTTGAAATTTCTTGTGAAAAAATCAGACTTGCTTGTAATTGGATTTTTAAAGCTAAAATAAAAGCTAGAATTACAGAATTTAAAAACCGTTGTAAAGAATGTGGACTTGCATATAGAAAAGTTCCAAAAGAAGTATGCACTAAATGAAATTCTTTATTTGAAATGCTTGAAGTTGCTTATATTTATCAAGAGCCGGTACAATTAGTTTTTAATGCTCATAATGCGGACCTGAATTTAAGAATTGGCTATAAAAATTGGGAAAATACAAAAGAACTTATTGAATTTTTAAGTGTTTTTTATAAAGCAACAAATGTTGCTTCTGGTCAATATTATCCAACTATTTCTACTGTTTTAGTAAATATTTGTGCTATTTCATCTAAATTTGCAAAATATAGAGGAAAAGATCGATTAAAGATTCACTTGCTTGTATGATTGAAAAATTCAAAAAATATTTTTTCTCTATTCCTCAAATCTATTTAACTGCTACTACTTTCAACCCAAATTACAAATTAAAAGGTGTAGAAAGAATGGTTGAAAAGATTTATGCAAATTTAGAAATTTATGATGATGAAATTCCTAGTGTTGAAGATTGTAAAAGTAACATATATACAAAAGCTAGAGAATTATATAATACATATAAAACTATGGAAAAAAATATTCCAATAGTTGAACCTCCATCTTGTAGGCCTAGAAGTGATGATATGGATGATTGGATGGATGATTATCTTGAACTTGAATCCTCTACTAATAATGATTTTGATTTATATTTCAATCAGACACGGGAAAAGATTAGGCATGAAGAATGACAACTTCAAGCTCAAATATTAGTATGGTGGAAGAATCGTGAAAATCAATTTCCGATCCTTGCTAGAATTGTTCGAGATGTGCTAACGATTCAAGCATCATCGGTCTCTTAGGAGCAAGCCTTTAGTGCGGCGAGATTTATGATTGGAGATCATTGATATTCATTAGCAAAGGATAGTTTGGAAATATCAGTGTTGTTTCGAGATTGGGCCAATGACGAAAGAAGAAATACTGGACTACCGCAATTAAATAGCTAAATAGAAGACGAAATAGATGAAATATTTGGTGATAATAGTGATGATGGAATGGAAGCAATGGAAGAAGAACGAAAATACAAGTTCCAAAAAATGTTTCTTTAAAAGTTACAAAAAGATTTTAAAAAAAGTTTCAATTGTTAGTACAATAATTAATATTCAATACCTAGATTATGTACTCTTTGTCTCTTTTTAATATTTGTATTGTACAATTTATTTATTTGAATAAATATACGGCTATTCGCCTTGATTTTCTTTTAAAATAGCCTCTTATATTTAATCCAAGTCATTTTAGAAATTTAATTTTCAACTATTTTAATATTAGTTTAAACTTTAATATAAAATTAAATTTTAAGGTTTAAACTTTAAATTCAATATAAACTTTAAACTTTAAAGTCAATTTTAAACTTTAAATTCAATATAAACTTTAAAATTTAAAGTCAATTTTAAACTTTAAATTCAATATAAACTTTAAATTTAAAGTCAATTTTAAACTTTAAATTCAATTTTAAAGTTTTAAATTGAAGTTTTTTAATAATATAATATTATATAATAATTAAAGTTAATAAAAAAATTACCGGTACACAATGATCCGGTAAGAACCGGTTCTGGTCCGGTCCAAACTGGTTCCTATCCGGTAACTAGGGGACCGGGCGTAACCTTTGGGAATTTTCGGTAAAACCGGTTCCAATAAGACCCGATTTAGATAATTAAATCAGGTAACGAGAACCGGTCCTGTCCAATTGCCAGCCTTACTCTAGTCTAATGAATTGTTGAAACTTTTTTCGTAGTTTAAAAATTAAAGTTCAATAAAAGTATTCAAAGTTTTTCTATATTTACCCTAATATCTTTAACTCCTTCACATTTTCTAGTATAATACTTGAAAATAATCAAAAGGATAATAATAAAAATAACTTTTAATTTATATCTTTCTTAAGAAATGCCTCAACTTCAACAATTCATTTAATATGAACAAGAGCGTGTATCAATTAATATAATATTCATTTATTGACGTTGAGGTTATTTGAGAGGGAAAAAGATTGAAAATGAAAATACAAAGTGGCCCACCCATTTTACCCTAAATCCAAAACTACCCCAAAAAAGCCCTAATTTCCAAAACCCTATTCAGTTAACTCACTCCCCGAGCAGAGTCCCCAAACGCTTTCTCCCAATTTCTGAGATCTGCGCAAAACCCTAAACCCCATTTGCGATTTTGCTTCAAATTCAGTCACAATGTCGATGTCGAAGAGTTCTAAGATGCTTCAATACATCAATTATCGTATGCGTGTTACTATCCAGGATGGCCGTCAATTGATCGGCAAGTTTATGGCATTTGATCGACATATGAATCTTGTACTCGGCGATTGTGAAGAGTTTCGTAAGCTTCCTCCTACTAAAGGTTCTAAGGAAGAACGTGAAGATCGCCGTACACTTGGTCTTCTTCTTCTCAGGGGTGAAGAAGTGATTTCCATGACTGTTGAAGGTCCTCCACCTCCGGATGATTCTCGTGTTAAAGCTACTGCTGGTGGTGTTTCTGCTGTTCCTGGACCCGGGTTGGGTCGGGCTGCGGGTCGGGGTGTTCCGACTGGTCCGATGGTTCATGCTCAGCCGGGTCTTGCTGGTCCTGTTCGTGGTGTTGGTGGACCTGCACCGGGAATGATGCAGCCGCAGATTTCTCGTCCGCCGATTAATTACCCGCAGCAGCCTCCTCCTATGGTTCGACCACCTGGTGGTGGGCCTCCACCTCCAATGCAAATGCAAATGCAAAGACCTGGTGGCCCACCTATGCCTCCGCCGCCACAGTTCAGGCCTGGTGGTCCTGGACCGTTTCCGCCTCAGTTTGGTCAGAGGCCCATGGGACCACCACCTCCACAGATGATGAGAGGTCCTCCACCACCAGGGTCGCAGCCACCAAGACCTGGAATGCCTGGTGGGCCACCTCATCCGGGGATGCCTCCACCTCCTGGTGGGCAAATTCCAGTCTTTGGACCTCCTCGCCCGGGAATGCCACCTCCTCCAAATGCACCTCACCAGCAGAATCAGCAGCAGTAGAATCAGTATGTTGCTGTTAACTAAGTTCATTTTCAATCTTTATGGCTTTATATTGCTTGTCTAAGCTCATTCCAAGTATAACAATGTCTTTGTGGAGTATATTCTGCAATTAATATTAAACTGAAAATGCAGTTCCGTAAAGCTAGTTTGAGCTAAGTATTATAGTGCTTCTTTGATTAGAGGCTATTTTATTTTCAGTACTTATGCTATGGTGAGTTTCTTGCATGATGATTGGTTTGGAATAGGCTAATTGACAGTATAAGTTTGACCTTTTTAAGCTGCAATTTATTTATTTATTTTGATAACCGAGAAATCTGTCCGTGACCCTCCCTTTGGACCAATCACAGCCTTCTAAACTCGGTGGATAATGGGCCCGCCCCTCTACCCTTCTCCACTTAAATATCGGGCTTCGCTTTGCATGGTGTGGGGCTTGAACCTGTGACCGAAGCCACAAATCCTCCACCTTTTGCCACTTGACTAGCCCTTGGGGGCAGCTGCAATTTAATTTTGACTAGCTGTTTGCGTAATTGTATGGCAAAGTTGATGGACGATTTTATTATTAGTGTATGAATTTATTGAAGATCATCTCATGGAAGATGGCCTGTATATGCAATACTCGCAAAATATGATGTACGCCTTTTTCCCCTCGAAAGATCACCTGTCTCTAATCATTTGGTTGTTGCACTGAAGGTAGTGATTTTATATCATCCAAACAGGAACTTTTTGATACTGTTTTGTGTTGAATTTAAGTTTGTCAATCTTGAAATCCAGATGGTGCGCTGTTATGATGTTGTCTCTTGATGGATCTGGAAGGTGTGGATGGAAATTGCTCTGGTTTTGAATATATAGTGATATAGGTTTTGGACAGACAGAGGTATTGAGAAAATATCATGGACTCTAAATTTGTCTAGAGTTTGAATAATATCTTTTGTTGACATGGTATCCTTTTCAGAGAGTATTGAAGTTCTCCCTTCGTCCTTAACTTCTTTGACCTACCATTTTCTTCCATCCTGTGAAAAAACATCTTTGCTTGAATGAAATCTCCACCATGGAAAAGTATTATCCACTTTCAATAATTTCACAGCGAGTCAATATTATAATTTATAAAATATCTGTAACAAACTCAAATATAGTAACTTATGACACATTTTTATATTGATCTCCATGAAAAGACAAGCAGGTCAATTAAAATGAGGTGGGTGGCCATTGTTCTTGCAAGCTGAAGTTCTGTAGTATGCTGGGTTCTTAGGTTGTTCATTTTGCATCAATTTTTAGGTTACATATTTATGGCTTATGTACTAACTATGCATAATTGGCTTGTTTGAGTATTTTCCGTGTCTGAATCATTTGTGGTAGACCAGACTGCTTTGCGATATCCTATTATGATGACGAAGTATAATGTTAGTCTTGAGTAGTGCTGCGGAAGTTGTTAATTCTCGCAACCATTGTAGAATCTCTTGCTAAAAAAATTGGAGTAAGGTTGGATTGTTAACAACCCAAGAAACTTAAAAGCTTCATAGTATTTGTTGTGCTGGACTGCTAAGGCTCTAGAGGTTAGCTCAATTCTGTATTTGTTGGTAGAAATCCATTTCTAAATTTCTCCCAAACCAGTAATGAGACTTCAGTTGAAGAATTGCCCTCCCTCCCCCTCCCCCTCCCCCTCCCCCCAAACAAAGAATTCCCTCACTTTGTTCCCTGCATAGCTTGAATTATAACTAATTACTTTGTTTTCTTGTAGGGCATGCTCTGTAAAGGTCAAGTAGTCATTAGCTTCTCCTGCTTACCTCAATGATCGTTATCTTAGGTCCTTTTTTCAGCACTCAGCTAAGGATTTGGTGTTTGGGCGATCAAACTAAGGCTATATTTGATGGTGGTTGAGTGATATTTGCTTTCAATTAGCTTGTAATTGTGCAAGATAGGAGACTTTAAACTAATGTTCTTAGCAGTATTTGTCAAACTTCCTGTCTTTTGATTTTCAATATTGCTTTCTGCTATGACTTAATGAAGATTTCAGTGGGTTGTTCATTCAACAGTGGCAGTCTTCCATTTACATATGCTTAATTTTTCATGGAAGAATTAGTTGAGGATATTTGCTTCTCATCTAATATTGGAGTGCTCTTATGTTAAATGTCAAACAAAAGGGACTTCAAGACTTCTTTTTTCGTACTACTCGCTCCAAGTATGCCACTCGTTGGATCGGGAACACCAAATGTTGAGATTGAATTTTTTGCTAATGGGTCGTAGCTTAGTCTATTCAACCTATTCTTGAAGCAGATGGCACCGTTCAGGTTGGCTCCAAGGCAGTTAACTCTTTTCTTTGGGCATCATTCCCTCCTCAGCTATGGGAAGAATTTCATTGCCACGAGGTCAACACTTGCCTTCACCGATTCAAAATCCTATTCCCTTCTGTCTTCTCGCCGTTTCCGCTTTCGTATAAGGAAATGGCTGCTTGGGGTGTTGATTTCACATCTTCAGCTACGGTGTTCACATCCTCCCCAAGGAGATTGAAATATTTGCTTGGTTGTTAAGAAAGCATGGGAGAAAAAATTGAAACACATTCTTTTCTATTTTCTATTCTATATGGGGGTACGTGGCCTGTCCTTTCCTTACTATGTTGATGGTATGCTTGAGATGACAGTCTTTCTCCTTGGCTTGTACTCGAGATTCGATGTTCGAAAGACAGTCAATCCTTGTCCAGTAACCGTTTTGAGTGGGGTTTTGCTTGACGGGGATCACTCTAAAAAAAGGAAGTCGTTTTGGTTGTTATTCCAAATCATTTTCTTTATAAATGTCATAAAAGACGGGGGCTTTGTTGCTTCAACATGTGAGGGAAATGCCCTAGGTATCGAAGTCATCACCATTATTCTTTCACACTTTCTTCGTCATTATTTTCACGCTCCTCCAGCAGCACTATTGAAGCAACTCACATACACCTTTAAATCAATTTGAGACAATCATCAATAGTAAATTTTTACCTATAAAAAAAATTTATTTACAACTTATTAAGTCTTCTTCGCAACATGAAAAAATGTTTGACTCCCTAATTCCAACAATTCATTTAGTGCACATCTTGTGCCTCTTCGCTTCTTCTTTTCGGGAGAATCAGTGATATATTATATCGTTAAAAGACTAAACATCCGAGCTTGTAATCAAATATTTTTTCGTTTGGTTAATAGTTTTTTCCCCTTAAACTAATTGTATCTATATTTTTCGTTTTGCAGGGATATAAACCTCCTTATTTGTTTTACCAGATATTCATACAAGCATGTTTGTAGGGTTTTAACCTCCTCAACAGTTTGACCAACAATTAGCATTTCATTTTTTTATATGATTAGATTACAACTAATGCAAATTTTATTTATTAATAACTAAACTCATAAAGTTCATAATAATAACTAAAGCACTAGATTTTTTTTTTTATAATTAAAGCACTAATATTTAATTAAATCATAAAAACTATCTGACTTTCGAATACGCAAACTCTCAAAGCATTTGCACCAAAATGATTAAATTGAAAACATTCAAACATGTCTTCATTTTTCTTCCAATAAACTCCGTGAATATAAATTTCGACAATCATCATTGATGTGCAAAATTTTCAATAAATGACCAAGCTTCTTATTATTTAACCAGTCAATATATTTAGTAGATAGGTTGAGAATCCACAAGAGCAAGTAAAACCAATGATTTTTACCTTTCTTGTTTGTAGTGATCCTCTCTTGGAGCCCTTCAAGATCTGTAGCTAAAGTCAACTGGTGGACTGCACAGGTAATACGACCAAGCAAAGCAGTCGGCCTAACACAATCCCATAGAAAGAGGTAGAGAATGAGAAATCACTTCACCATGTTTAAGCAATTGAAAAAGTACAAAGGTATTTGCCTGTCAGTGTCCGACAACTGTTAGTTCAGTGAGCCCAACGTGACCACGAGCACCGGGAGGTTAATTCATTTGACCAAATACCAAAGGCCAAAGCACATGCTTTCCCTTGCAGATAAATATGTATAAAATCAGCCAATTGTAGGAAATGTCTGCACTATATATTAAAAATCAAATGTCTTAATCATTTCTCTGTACAAATCGTTACTCTCTTGAGTACGTTCATAAACACAAGCAAACACTGAGAAACCACATGAGAATGACAAGTAAATATAAAATTAGATTGAAGAAAGAGAATACATGAAGATTCTTTTTTACTCCTAGTAACAAACCATGAGCCTTTGCAACATTGTTAATATGGTCCATAAATAAGTAGTGTCTTCCAACATCTGCACCACCAAAAAGTCCAATCTTTCCACCTATTTAATATAGAGCAAATCATACTACCAGAGACAGTAGACAACAATATTATTTATGTATTCAGAATGATTTGCCTATCGAGTGAAGAAACATCAAATTTTTCCAATCTTTAACCCCTCCTCAAGCTTGGTCTTTTTCACAACAGTCACTTTTTTTTCACATGCATAAAGAACATCAACATCCTTCTGATCCACACTGAATGTGTAATGAGTAGGCATGATGTGGTTGTAGTTCACGAGCTTGATGAAAGTCTTCACACGAGATTTCTTTGCATGCTTCTTTTATGAATCCTTACGGATCACCTTCTACGGGTACTTTGAGACATCTGCAGCCAAACAATGGCGCCCATATAACCTTGTCCCTTGTTTCTTCATCAAATGCTCACAGGATCGCAACTTTTCGGCCATCATATTTGCCTTAGAATAATAACAACTTTGTTTGGCTTCAAAAACTTCGCAATCCGACGTCGCGGATTCAGTCTCATAGCTGGATGAAATGGACTCTACAAGTACACTATATTTCACATACATTTCCAAAATGTAATTTGAATCGCTGAAAACACAATAAAAAGACGCTAAATTTTGAACTTATGGGCACTATAAGTACCATTTCACATCAAAATCCAAAAGATAATTTGAATCACTGAAAAACACAATAGAATAACCGCTAAATTTTGAACTTATGAGCACTACAAGTATACTATACATCCATATAAAAAACATACCTTGAATCATACACATGCCTCGAGGCACCTCCACCCAACCCCTCGAGGCACCATCACCCCCACCTCGAGGCAGCCCCTCCATCACCCCCTCTTTATACCCCCCGCGCCTCGAGGTCACTTACCCCGAGGCACTCCCTCCCCCAACCCCCTGCACCTCGAGGTCGCACACCCTGTCCCCCCACCCCACTGTGCCTCGAGGCCACTCACCCTAAGGCAACCCATCGCCCCCACCCACGCGCGTGCCTCGAGATCGCTCACCCCGAGGCACCCCATCCCCCCGCGCCTCGAGGCTTCTCACCCCCGAGGCACCCCCTACCCTCCCCATGACTCCGTGCGTCGAAACTCCTCATCCCCTGGCACCCCCCTCCCCCGTTCTTTGAGGCCGTTCACCCTGAGGCATCCCCACCCCGACCCCCCACTCCCTGGGCCTCGAGGCTACTCACCCCGAGGCATCCCTCCCCCTCACCCCCCTGCGCCTCGAGGCCGCTCAGCCCGAGGCACCCCATCCCCCCACCCCCGCGCCTCCAAGCCGCTCACTCGAGGCACCCCCCCTCGAGGCCGCTCGCCCCTAAGGCCCCCCCTGCCCAGATGTACCCTTACCCCTTCACCCCCCCTTCGAGGCGCCTTTCCCGCGACCCCTCCTACCCTCCTCCCCTTTATCCCCTCCTCCTACCCCCCATATCCCCCCTCCTACCACCCTCTTAAACCCTAAAAAAAACCTAACTCTAAACCCCAAACCCCGACCTGTGAACCCTAAACCCTAAACCCTAAAAAAAAAACTAATCCTAAACCCCGAACCCCGAACCCCAAACCCCGATCCTTTAACCCTAAACCTTAAACCTTAAACCCTAAATCCTAAACCCTAAAGCCAAAAAAAAACCCTAACCCTGAACCCTAACCTACGAACCCTAAACCCTAAACCCAAAACCCCAAACCCTAAACCTTAAACCCTAATAAAAAAACCCTAAACCTAAACCCTGAACCCCGGCCTGCGAACCCAAAACCCTGAACCCCAAACCTTAAACCCTAAACCTTAAACCTCATCGCTTCCCCATTTCCCAATTTTTTTCTCTCTCTAATTTCTCTCTCTATGCGGGACTCTCTCAAAATCTGCACAACTGCTACAGTTCCAACGGCTAGTTCACCAGCTGGAATGGCGCGTGCGCCGCCGGTGAATCTTTTCAGGCCGCCGGACCAAAGCCATCTGAGGCGCTTTGAGGAGACGAACAAAACCCACCAAGAATCACCATCTAATTCATCCTACAACTTCACGAAATTGCGAAATACAGAGGCGATGAATATCGCGATTTCAGAAAGAGAGCTGGAAGGGATTCATAAATTTATTTCCCTAGATCGCGATAAGCTGATTAATCGAAAACTATTTAGTGGGAATGATTCTACTAATCAAGGGCTACAACATACTCAAAAATTACATGATTCTATCGCGCCAATTGCGAGATCTGATGAGGCGACTTCTGGGAAAATCAGAGCAAATTCTCCGGAGCGGCGCCTTCAAATTCGTCCAACTTCCTACCAATTTTACGGCGATTTGACCATTGGGGATTGTTCACCTAGTGAAGAGGTACATCTCACAGAAATCTCAAGTAAAATGGCCGGTCAAATCACCGACGACAAGAATTCCGGTGAGCCAATAGTCGAAGATGACGACGGCGACATTGGGGGCAATTGTTCGTTGGACGAGGAGGTCCACCTGACCAACATATCCTCCAATTTAGCTCAGGAACACAGCCAGAATAAGATTCAAACAAGTTTCATAAATTCTACAACCAATCCACAAATTGAGCTTGAAGAACCCAGCTGCAGAATTGAAGAACAACAGCAAGAGACGTTTTTCCATGATCAAGCAAGGCCTAATGGTCAAAAACAAGATCACAATGCTATAGGAGAACAACAAATAGAGATGGAATCTACACAAATAGCTATGCGAGTATATCAGGGCAAAAATGATCAGCTGGGCAACACAAGTTCTACTAATTTGGAAGTCATTGATGTGGAGAATTCATCATATTTCTCATTTGGAGTGAAACCAATGGACACAACCCCCAACAATGGAGGACAGCAAAGACCAGGTATGATTCCTAAGTATCATAATGAACCTTCTCATGTCTATATGCAGGAACAACAACAAACAAACAACACTTCATTAAGCAAAAACCCAAGCATGGAGAGCACTCAGGCAGGTAAGTCCTCTAATTCTAACTCTAGTACAAATGTTGTTACCTTGAGTAGTAGTGGTGTCCATGTGAACGATAGTCCAAATCGGCAAAAGAATCTTATGAGGGAAGAACAAGGAAAAGGCAAGGGAGACACTGAAACCCAACAGCAAGTTAATCGACACCAAAGTCGAGTGCGAGATAAAAATTTATCTCAACCTACTAATCAAGGAGGGAATACTGAACCAAATAACTATCATAAGGACTTCCCTAAACTTTCTAGAAATTTTGATAGACATATCAGTTCCAATCAGCAGAGTCAACAAATAAACCAGTCCAACCAATCCAAAGAACCCAACAATCCCAACGAGAACCATAATACCAAACATGATCAAAGTGTAGAACCTGCTCCTTACACTGTGGTGCAAACTCTAGCTGCTAGGCTCAGGCAAATCCATGCTACGCAGACTACTTCTATTGAACTTGTTCCACCCAAGCACACTACTAAATAGGGCCAGCCTGCTGTGATCTACGATATGGATGATTTCATGAACAAATTAGCTGTGGACTGTAAATATACCCTTATAAGTAAATTCAGTACCACCATGCCAAAAATAGAACTCATCAGGAAGAGTTTTATCCTACAAACTCAGCTGAATGGGGGGTTAATATTGCGCACTATAATGCTAGGCATGTGTTTATTGATTTGGAAAATGAACTGGACTATAACACAATATGGACACAACAAAGAATGATCATTGAGGGCAAACTCATGAGAATACAAGCTTGGACTCCCAACTTTAAACCTGAAAAAGAAACACCCATTGTTCCCATATGGGTACTGCTGCCAGGCCTACTATGACACTGCTTCAAGAAAGAGTTCATCACTCCTCTGTTAGAATCTGTGGGCAAAGTTCTATATTTAGATACAGCCTCCATTAAACGAACTAGAGCTAGTATGACCAAGGTAAAAGTCCAAGTCTCACCAAGGCTAGACCTCGACATGTTTGGATTGGCTTGGATGATGAAGACCTCACTATAGGGAGATGACAACCAATTGAATATGAAAATATCCCTCCATACTGAGCCTACTGCAAACATCAAGGTCACATGATAGGGGATTATAATTTCAAAATAAGAGATGAGGATTTCAAACGTAGAAAAGAGTTAGGAGTTAAAATGAAAAACATAAATAAAAGTGAACAAGAGCATCAAGGAAATGATAACAGACAAGTCAGGCCAAGGAAACAAGAGGAACAACAACACCAAAACACCAAGGAAGGGAATAACCAACTACCACCTGAACAACAAAAGGAAGAAGAATGGCAAGTGTCAAGAAGAAGAAACAACAAACCACAGGAGGAGAAAACACAGAAGGCAGTGTGGAGACCAACCTCACCACAGAACAAAGTGTCAAGAGATCAACCACAACCCACAACTCAGCAAAAAGATATAAACAATACTTCTAATCATTATCTTTTTTCTAACCTTAGCATACAGGAAAACCAGACTCAAGATATTCAGGGGCATAACAACAATGAAGGGAAAACACCATAAGGATCACAAAGCAGGTCTAAAACAGACCACAACCAAAAAGAACAGATCATGCAAATAGGAAACCAAACAAATAACAAGAGCACATGTATTGACTCAATGCTCCCAATTCCCATAAACCCCAATACTTTATTTTCTAATGGTATTGCTGAAGTTGAATGAGGGATGGATGAGGGATGTCAGGAAAGCCACACTAACCTGCAGGAAAAGGGGTCCAAAGGGAGGAATTTGACTCATGTTATGCATGAGGGTACACACCTTGACCATAGTCCTGACCTTAAAGCTCCTGCTACCACTACAGTCTAACATCCTACTTCAGATCACCAACATGAACAGCAACAAGCACATTTAGGGCCAGGGAAACTGATTAATACTAAAAATAATAAGGAAAAACAGGAAGTGGTGGCAGGACCTGCAGATAAATAGAACAAATAAGCCATGACAAAAGATATGGAAGCCAAAACAAGCACTAGCATCCAAGGAAACACTCTCAAAAGTAAGAACAAACCTAGTAAGAAAAAAAGAGAGGGTGCCAAAAAAAGACAGAGCATACAACATGACAATGACCAGCAGGGGGAACAACAAAAAGAAGGGGAAGTTTGCAAGAAGTTTATTATGGTTGATGAACAGTTGGGCATAAATATCACTCATTTACAAATCCAATATATGAATCCTCCACCTACTGTCCCTCCAGATGGCAGGTCTGAAAAGTGTCAAATGAACAAAGATCCTATAATAGATGAATATGCAGTTGACAATTCAAAGGATGAACCGGATGTAGATAATCAATCCCTCAAAGATCTTGATAAGGATGATGAGACTAGTGAGCTTCTTATTAGAGCTTTTAGTCCTCATTCGGATAAGGACTTTGCAGATGAAATTCAGCAGGTGGCTAGTAGTCAGGGATTATCACCTAGAGGATTACACCATGAGAGATTCAAATTCCAAGTTCAGGATATCAACACTGTCACTGCTGGCAGACCAAACACTAGGTTGTTTACTTCCCGATCATCTCAATGATTAGTACAATTATTTGGAATGTGAGGGGGATCAACACCCAATGTGTAATTGAAAGACTCAAAATCCTCAAGAAGATGCATCAACTCTCTATCATTGCTATCATGGAACCTTTCTCGGACAATACTCATATTCAAAGTGTTAAAAATCAGTTAGCTATGGAGCATGTTGTGAGTAACTGCAATGGTAAAATCTGGCTCTTTTGGAACATGGACATTGATTGTGTAATACAAGAGGAGGATGAGCAACAAATTACTTGCGACTTTAGCCATAATGAACTTCAGAACCACTTCACCACCACTTTTGTGTACGCCAAGTGTAAAGACCACCTCAGAAGGCCTTTATGGGATATAATGTTACATCATTCTGCAGATATTGATAGACCTTGGTGTTTTGTGGGAGACTGCAATGTTATTACTTCTATTGAAGAAAAGCTGGGAGGGGTTCCATACAACGTGAGAAAAAGTCTAGAATTCATTGTTGTTATTGAGGCTTGTGGTCTTATGGATTTAGGCTTCAGTGGACAGAAATTTACTTGGTCCAATAACAGGATACAACAGAGAGTATGGAAAAGGCTGGACAGAGCTCTAGTTACTGATGCCTGGATGGAAAAGATGCCTTAGACTACTATCACCCACTTACCTTCTGTAGGGTCTGATCACTGCCCTCTACTGATAAAAATGAGTGCTAGGGAAGATGATCATATCAAATATTTTAAATTTCTTAATTGTTGGACTGACCAACCTAATTTCCTTGACATAGTTAAAACCTGCTGGGAAAGGAATGTTGAGGGTAACAACATGTGGAAATTTCACCAGAAAATGAAAAGGTTGTCCAACACTCTTAGCAACTAGTCCAGAAAGGAATTTGGGGACATTTTTGCTAAAGTCAAGGAATATGATGAAAAGGTCAAAATAGTGGAGGAGCAGCTAATTCATGACCCTAGTGAGACTAACAGATCTATGCTTCATGAACTCAATGCTAGGTATATCAGATTCTTGAAGATAGAAGACTCCATTTTGAAACAAAAAACACAACTACAGTGGTTTAAAGAGGGTGATTGCAATACAAAGTATTTCCACTCCCTGATAAGGGGAAGAAGAAGAAGGTTATTTATTCACAAAATTATCAGGGAGGATGGGGAATGGATACAGGGAGATGATGTTATTGTTGAAGCTGCCTGTGACCATTTCCAGAAAATATTTACAGGAGATAACAAATTCATCAATGAGGGTGCCCTAGACTGTATACCTCAGATGGTCAATCAGGATCAAAATGATAGTCTTACTGCCCTGCCTAATCTGGAAGAGTTGAAGGAAATAATATTCTCTATGAATCCTAATTTTGCAGCTGGTCCAGATGGGATGAATGGATACTTTTTTCAGAAGTGTTGGCACATTATCAAACATGATCTCCTTGGTGTCATTCATGCATTCTTTTGTGGTGAAATAATTCCCAAATATTTTTCTCATTCTTGCATTGTTCTGCTCCCTAAGGTGAAAAATCCTAACAAACTTTCAGAATTCAAGCCCATCAGTCTAAGCAACTTCACTAGTAAGATTATATCTAAACTAGTAAGTTCTAGACTGAAAACTATTTTACCTAATTTGATTTCTCTCAACCAGTCTGGGTTTGTCAAAGGGAGAAGTATTTCAAAAAACATTATGCTTGCCCATGAGATTATTCATCAGATTAAGAAACCTAATATTGGAAGCAATGTTATTATTTTATTGGACATGGCTAAAGCGTATGACAGGGTTTCTTGGTCTGACATATGTCTGGTGCTGAGAAGAATGGGGTTTGATGAATTTCTTATTGATATGGTTTGGAGAATCATGGCTAACAATTGGTATTCTATTATCGTCAATGGCAAAATACATGGTTTCTTTCAATCCACTAGAGGTCTCAAGCAAGGTTATCCGTTATCTCTTGCCCTATTTATTTTTGGTGAAGAAGTACTTTCCAGATCTCTGAACAGGCTACACAACAACCCTGAGTACCATGGATTCTTCATGGAACCTAGAGGCCCCCAAGTGAACCACTTAAGTTTTGCGGATGACATTATTCTCTTCACTTCTGGAAGGCAGAAAACACTGAAGCTTATCATGCAGACTCTCCATTCCTATGAGCAGTCCTCAGGCCAATTAGTTAACACTGATAAAAGACATTTCATGGTTCATTCGTGTGCATTCAACAGTACAAGGGACAGAATCAAGAGAGTCACTGGCTTCAAGCAAAAGGAGGGCCCTATCACCTACATTGGCTGCCCCTTATTTGTTGGTAGGCCTAGAATTATTTATTTTTCTGACCTTATTAACAAAGTTTTATGCAGAATCACAGGTTGGCAGACTAAGCTTTTAAGTTATGGTGGTAGAGCAATCCTTGTCAAGCATGTGTTGCATTCCTTACCTATTCACCTATTAGCTTCAGTAACCCTTCCAGTCACTATCCTCAGGCAGATCCAAAGCATCACAGCTGACTTCTTCTGGGGATGGAGGAATGAGAGGAAAAAATATCATTGGTCGTCATGGAAAAATTTAAGCTTTCCTTATGATGAAGGGGGTGTTGGTATGAGGAATCTCAAAGATGTGTGTGTAGCCTTTCAATATAAACAATGGTGGATCTTTAGATCCAAACAAACCCTTTGGGTGGATTTTTTGAAAGCTAAATATTGCCAAAGGTCTAACCCTATTAGCAAGAAATGGGATACAGAGGAGTCTTTGACATGGAAGCATCTTATGCATAACAAACACCAAGTCGGAAAACACATTCAATGGAAGCTCAATTCTGGCAATTATTCTTTTTGGTGGGATAATTGGTTGGGCATTGGACCTCTTGCTCACTACTCTACCAATAGCAATAGATTCAACAACATCACAGTGGCAGAATTTTGGCTTGATGGACAGTGGAACTGGAACACGCTTATACAACAGGCACCTAA